ATTCATAATGGTTCAATGCTTACGCTTAGCTACCCCGTTTTGTTGAGGGTGTAAGCTGTTGTAAGTTGTCTCTTAATGCCATGAACCTTACAAAATTCGTTGAACTCCAGTGAAATGAATTCACCACCTCGGTCAATTCTTAGACAACATATACAACTCCCCATCTCCTGTTCAAAAAGACTTTTAAAACTCTTAAACATTGTAAATGCTTCACACTTTTCAGCTAGGAAATAAATCCAAGTTTTCCTACTGAAGTCATCAATGAAGCATAAAATGTACCTCTTGTTGCTATTCAATATTGGTGTAATGGGGCCACAAATATCAACATGTATCAATTGCAGCCTTCGTAATGCTCTCCATTGGCTTTTCTTTGGCATTGCTTCTCGATGTTGTTTTCCCATATTGTAGACAATACATATAGTGTTTGCAACTTTGAGTTGAGGCAAGCCTTTCACTAGGTGCTTGTACTGTAAGGTTCTAAGGCTTTTGTTATTCAGATGACCATATCTTTGATGCCACAGGTCAGTAATGTTGTCAGCAGTTGCTTGGAAACATGTTGATGACTGAGGTACCACTTTTGCCAACAATACAAACATTCTGTTTGTTGACATTCTTATTTGCATTATGAGCCCTCTCCTAGGGTGATAGATCTTACACACTCCTTTTTGTATCAGGATAGTCAACTCCTTTTCTTGCAACTGACCGATGCTAAGTAAGTTATTTTTTAAATCAGTAATATAGAAGAAATTGGTTATTACCTGAGTTATTCCCCTAACTTCCAGCTTGATGTTTCCTCTTCCCATCACCGGCATCATTGAGTCATCTCCAAGCTTCATCGAGTGCTTGAAATGCTCATCAAAATCAAGAAACCACTACTTGTTGCCTAACATGTGGTTTGAGCATCCAGAATCAAGGAACCATATTCCTTCTCGGCTTATGGTATGAAGCTCTACATAGGAAATTAGTATCAACTCCTCCTTTTTGTCCAACTCAGCATAATTAACCCTGTTGTTCAAGCTAGGACATTCATATTGGAAATGCCCTAACTTATGACATTTGTAACACTCAATCAAAGCTTTATCAAAGCTTTGTCTTCCTTGACCTTGTCCTCTCCCTCTGTGGTCACCTCTTCCTCTGCCTCTTGCTTCAACTCTATTCTTAGAGGTGATCTTCAGTGCCTGTTCTTCATTGTGCTGTCCATTCATTCTCTGCTCGTGCACCAAGAGGCTTCTTTGAAACTCATCTATTGTCAATTTGTCGAGGTCATTTGACTCCTCAACTAAATAGACAACATAATTGAACCTCCTCGTCATTGACCGCAAAATCTTTTCTATGATTATCATTTGTTCCATCTTCTCCCCATGAGCCTTCATCTTATTCGCAATAGTAAGTGTCTGAGCAAAATACTCATCCACTTTTTCACTTTCCCTCATCTGTAGCACCTCAAACTCTCTCCTTAACGCTTGCAGCTGGTCTCTTTTGACCCTTGTAGACCCTTGGTATTTCTATTTCATGGAGTCCCAAATACTCTTAGTCGTGTCTTTGTTGAGTATTGTCTCCATTATAGTTCGATAATAGCTTGAAACAAGTAGTTCTTGACTTTGAGGTCTTTAATCTTTTGATCCTCAATCATCTTGCACTGAGCCTCGTTTGGTTCCAATCCTTTAGCTAGCACAGTGATTCCTTGATCGACTAAACTCTAGTAATCCTTCGAACAAAGAAGGTTCTCCATCAACATCGACCAAAGGTCATAGTGACCATCTATGAAACACGAATACGAATACGAGAACGATATAATACAGATACAGTAATACGATAAAATCTAAAAAAATAGGATACGAGTACGGCCAAGATACGGCGATAATAAAATATATTTAATATTTTTATTATTTTCAACCAACTTAATACTTATATATTTTGATAGTTCTTTAACATATAATAAATAAAATTAGTAATTCTTTTTGGTTTCAAGAAAATATATATCGTGTCGTTGTGATATATTCACAAAGTGAAGTGATTAATTAAAGGAATCAAAGCTAATATTTACCTAGTATTTAGAAGTAATTTTTACTAAGATTATAATGTAAAAACTTTATTTTATAATATTTTGACATGTAATTGTAGATAATACTTAAAAAACACTCATGTGTCTTTGAAATAATATGAATTTTTTGTTATTGTATTGTATGATATGTGAATTCGAAAAGAAATGTTAAAAGTTCAACTAAAAGATTATATATGTTGCTCGACTACAAAAGTATCCATGAAGTATCATAATATTTAATTATTATCAAATACGTAGAAGATGTATCCGATACGTATCTTCGAGTATCCGACGAGTATCGTATCTGATATGATATCGGATACGGGTACATCAACCTCAACGAAGTATCCGTGCTTCATAGGTGACCATCGAATTTGGGTATGACCGATTGAACAAAATTCCCTTCTGCAGCCATAACTCTCACACACTCTCTCTCTTTCTTCTCTCACAATTAGGCCCTAGTAGGTGCTCTGATACCAAAAATGTAGAAAAACCAAACTCAAAGCAACAGTTTTATCAAACTGTAGAGAATGATTCTTATTAACACTGAGTATAATCTTGGCTCATATAATGCCATTACACTGAAGCAGAGTTAAACAGGTGCAGCTCATGATTTACAATCCTAAGATTGTGGTAGATACCTAAAGAAAGGGTCAATACCCTAACTGAATGTAAATAAAAGATTTCCTAATAAATAGGAGTTATTGACTCAGCAAGAATAAAATAAATCCTAACAACTCAAACACTAACAGCAAAAAGTCCACTTTCTCAACATAGCAACCTTTTCAATTGCTCCCAAAAGTCACAAAGACTAATAATTTCTCGTTCACTATTTAATAATTTTTTAATTAAATATACCATTATTTCTAACAATATTTAGCTAGATCAATATCAATAGTTATTTTTTGCATATCAAGGTATTATTGTTCACTCTATTTTGTGGCCATTTAGTACTTGTTAAAAAATAATTAATCCAAAAATCCAACCCTTGTAAAAAAGGTGTTAGCCAATGGATTAATCAATCAATTTAACTTGCAAGACATTTTTGGGGCCCTAATCAACCACCTTAGTCGTGTATGCCTAGGGTCAACACTAGTCTCATTCTTGTGCCCACTTCTTGTCATCCGTTATCTTAATATAAAGTTTTTTTTGGGGATATTTATTATCTAGAATTTGAGTGAGAGTTTATGCAAATTTTTTTCGCATATATGTTTGATTTGAGCCTCAAAATAAGTTTTGATAGAACAATAAAAAACTGACTAAAGCTTTGAAATTATTGTACTTCAATCCAGTCATTCATGTTTTTTTGTCTAAAATTAACCCTTTAACCTCTAAGCCAACAAAAAAACAAAAAAAAACTAAAATAAAAGCAAGACCTTTTTCTTTTGAAAACAAAAAACCAACAGAAAAAACAGTGAAGGGTATAGTGAAATACCTTCTTAAAATAGTTTCTTATTGTTATATTTATATTTGGATCATGAGTCTTGCATATCATATAATAACTTGTAAAAACTACAAAACAAAAATGTTTTTTTTTTCCGTCTTCCATGGTTGTAACTTACATACAATTACTAGATTTTCCTTTCCAAAGTGAGTTTTTTCAATACATAGTGACAAGTCTAATTCACTTTTAAGGTAGAAGAGGATGAAAGCGGACCTAATGAGGAATATATTTTATTTCCATCATAAATCTCGAGCTTCTTACTTTTGAGTGAAATTCATGAGTTTTGTGTCTAACAAATTTACCAAATAATCTGAGATTATCGTTTCAGAAAACCTTATTAAAATTACTAAAGAGAAAATGAAGACCAAGCTTGAAAATTATTGGTAAGAGTTAAAGTGTTAAGGGTTAATTGCAAATTATATTTCGAAAGATTGTTCGAATATCAATTTATACCCTCAAAGATAAAAAATTTTAATTTTTATCCTCAAAGATAAAAATTTATATCAATGCGCACCTAAAACTAATAGCGGTCAGTTTGTCGTTTAAAACTAAACGAATAAATTATACTTAGATACTCTCATACTTATCACTTAATCATTTGGATCCCCTTACATTTAACATATTATTCCTACATTTCTTAACGTTTGTGAACGTGTAACACATAACCCCTGGTCGTTGATATCTGTTAATATAACTGTTAAAAAATATGATTTTATCCTAATAAAAAATTATAATTTCATACTACTCTTTATTTTGTGGGCCAATTATACTTTAAAATTTAAAATCAAGCTTAGTATTTAAATGCTTAATATAATGCAGGTATTTATATAATGTTCTTTATATTTAATGCAATACATCACTTAAGCAGAATTATTTGAATGCTCAATTGAAAAATTATTTTTAGTCATATTTGAATTCTTAAGGGATATAGGTATAATATTTTAAATGTGAGAGATCTATATAATTAAGTGACAAGCATGAAGAGGTGTAAGTGTAATTTATCAATTTATTTTAGATGCTAAAATGACTATTGTTAGTTTGGGATGAACATTGATATAAATTTTTATTTTTGAAAGTATAAATTAAAATTTTTAATTTTTAAAAATACAAATTAAAATTAACACTCGGGGAAATTTGAGAGTAACCCGAGTGTTAACCAGTTAGAAAGTCCACCTTCTGTTCTAAGCATAATACCTCGGATATTCGAAGTGCTTGTCTTAGCACTCCAAAGCTGCTCGGAGAAAAAGCATTATTGCTTACGTGGCAACCTACGTGTCACCGCATGGCTTAATCTGAACCGTCAAAGGCCCCCCCGTAAAAACCAACTGTCGGGATTGACATAATACGTGTGTATGGATGAAGAAAGCGCATGGAAAACCGATAACCGTCACAGGCGCGCGTCTGCTTACCAAACTCATCTGCCACGTCAGATAGACCCCACTAAGAACCAATCAAAGACACCCACGTGGCCAAAGCAGTTAATTTGAAGCATCCTACATTCCTTGCCGATCACAAATCATTACAATCCTTCTGTAACACTGCGTATTCTTATTTTATTAGGGCTCGGTGGCTTTGATTTTCAGCGTCCGAATTCGAACAATGGAGGTTTCCGGGGTTGTTTTACGGCGACTTCCATGCTTTTCAGGCGCCGGAGTCGATTTCAACGATCACTACTCTCCTTCAAAACCCTCTTTCACCAGCTTGTCTGTCGACGCCGGAGCTAGGTTTTCCGGCGAACTTCGGTCATTGGTTCATCGAGACTCGAGGGTTTCTGTGAAATCCAGAAAGTTTTCTGGGTTTTCGAGTTCGGGGTTTTGTGATGACGGTCATGTACAGTATTACTCTGGGTCGACGTCTACGATCAGGTGCAGTGGTGGGAAGAGAGAGAAAGCAAAGGAGAAGGAAAAGGTAAAGGATACCATGGCGAAGGAGATGAAGAAGAGATTGAAATTGCTGAAGGGGTTGCGAAGGGACCTGTCCACTTTCTCTGAGATGGGTTTTGGCTTGGATCCTGATCATGGTTTGGTTGATCAAGTGAAGGGGAAGATGATATCGGTAAGACTTAGGAGCTTTTAATCTGGACTTCTGCGTTCTTCTACTTCTCTGCATCATTGTTAAGTTGTTTCTTTAATCATTTGATTCAGTGATTAATCTTTGCATTGTAATTATTTAAAAGATACGAGCATCCTAAAGAGGAAAAAAGGTGAAGTTTCTATATCCATGTTGGATTGAGAATTTTACGTTTGGATTTCAATTGATTTACAACCGTATTCTAGTCTTTTAGAGCTCCCAAGTTGTTGGTTATGTTTCATGGAATTGATATTTAAAACAATTTTGGTGGTGGCTTTTAGTTCCAAGATTTTTAATCATGGTTGATCACCTTGACGAATTGTATTTAAAAGTTATGATTTGATGTTATCCTGATATTGAATTATTACCTGACAAACTTGACTCTGGATGCGATTAATCGATTTCAATATCTTTGATGAGGATTCTGTTTGCCAAATTTGGTAGGATCTGCATTTTGTATTTATTTTTTACTACTTTGCCTTATTTTTGCCATTTTACTGTACTTTAGATGTCTTTAATTTGTTCTGAATAGAGCTCTATTAGAATTGGTCGTTTGAATTATTCATAGTACTTCAAGCACCATATTTAACGTTGTCCACATTATGTCTTTTATAGGAAGCAGCAGAGCTATTGCTTGGACAACTAGAACGTATAAGAGCAGAGGAGAAAGAATTGAAGAGGAAGAAGAAAGAAGAAAATGCCAAATTGAAGTCTATGCGTATGCAAACCAGGCTTGAATGTGAAGAATCGTCCAACTCTTCTTCAGAATCAAGCAACAGTGAATGTGGCGAGGTTGTTGACATGAGCCGCCTGAGAAGTGGAGGCCTACCACAACCAATTCCAAATGCATTACAACTAGAAGCGACATCAACCTTTTCTAGTACGTTCACCTCAGAAGGAAGCATGACAGAGATAAAACCAGTTACTCAAGAAGCAGTGTTAACGCTTCCAAGCACTCCGACCCAAGGGGTTCTTGATGTCTGTGGTTTGACACAGATGCAATCAGTTAGTGAAGAAGCAGTGTTAATGCTTCCTAGCACACTGATCCGAGGCGGAAACTTGGCTGAAGAAAGGTGTCCTGAAGTTCGCGGTTTAAATGATTCTGAGCGAGAATGCTGCAGTGGAACAAGTACCATTTGTAGCAATTTAGGCAGTGTTGGTAGTGATGATGGACATAGCTTAGTTACAGGAGCATCAATGAAGGCAATTGAAGTCTGCATGGGTGGTAAATGTAAGAAATCTGGTGCAGCAGCACTACTGGAGGAATTTCAGAAGGTGGTTGGTGTTGAAACTGCTGTTTCTGGGTGCAAGTGCATGGGCAAGTGCAGGGATGGTCCTAATGTGAGGGTCTGTAATGATGGGGGGATTCAAGCCGACTCCGTCAGGACTCCAACTAATCCTCTCTACATTGGTGTTGGTTTGGAGGATGTGGGCTTAATTGTGGCAAATTTTTTTGGAGGAAATGAGAACAAATTGGATCTGGCTGCTGCATCATAGGTGTGTATATCCTGAGACTTGTTTGGTGTTGGGTTGTAGAGAAGGCTTCAGCATTTATGTGTGCTAATGTACATAGTTAAGATTAGTTAAGCAAGATAAACCTATTTTTCAATCATTTGGATTGGCACATGATCGCATTATTCTGAATGATATTCCCTGTAATATACGGTGATCATCCATACCTATATATTTAGATGATGATTTGATTTATTTTTCCCTTATTTGGTTTGATTAATGAAGGCATAGTCAAGTTACGATGATAAGGGCATCCGCTAAGCAATAAGATTTTTTTTCACCTGTGGGGGAGAATCTAACAATTTCAGTCTGAAAGTATACTATTTTATCACCCGAGACTGAGGCTGTTCTTTCACTTCAATAGCAAATTAACATTACTGAGTCACCTTTTTTTATTCCTTTTCGACATTAGACACATATTTTAAAAATAAAAAACTGGATACAAGTAATTTGAGGGGCCAAAAGGACAATCTTCACTTTAGTTCAGGGGGAACCATCTTCATAGGGAGCCATTCTAGACTTAATTTGAAGACAGATATAGTTATCCACCAGAACAGAGTATCAGTTGCAATTCTGCTACTACATTTTGGAATCTGTTCCAATTTTTTCAAAGATTGATCCCAACTTTTTTAGTGGTAACTTGACCATTAGGATTTCAACTTGATGCAAATTGTGTTGTAGATGACACTTATTTGGTAGTAACTTTTGGCATTCAAACTCAGTATGGTAGTTGTTCCTCTCTCTTTGCACTTTTTATTTGGGTTAGTCATAGATTGCACCCAAAAGATCTCTCGAATTTTAATTTGTATCCTCAAAGATATAAATCAATATCAATGTGTACCTGAAGCTAACAGTCGTTTAGTTTGCGGTGTAAAACTAAATGGGCAAATTACCATTTAAGAATCCGAATAAGACTAAAAGTGTTTCCCTGATTGGGCATCTAAATAATTCTGTTCAAGTGATGTATTACATTGGATATAAAGAATATTATATAATACCAATACTCATGAACATTATATAAGGGCATCTCCAACCCTTACCCAAATTTAAACTCAAATTTAAATTTGAGTAAAAAAGTCTAAAAAATTTGCTTCAACACTTGAATCAAACTTATACCAAATCAAGGGAGACTCATTTTTTTACTCAAATCAAGGAGACTCAAATCTTTAATGGTGAGATTTTACCATCTTTTAAAAATCTAATGGTCATTCTTATTCACTTTTAAATTTGGGTTTGCCCTCATTTAAATTTGAGTCTCTCCTTCTTTAAAATTGAGTTTGTACATTGAAGTCTTTTATATCAAATCAAGCTTTTTACACAAATGTTAATTTAAATTAGAATGAAAAATGGGGTTATGGTTGGAGATGCTATAATGCCTGTATTGTATTGGACATTTAAAAAATAAGCTTGATTTTGAATTTTAAAGTACAATAGACCCACAAAATAAAGGGTGGTATGGAAATTATAGTAATTTATTAGGATGACATCACGTTTTTTAATGGTTACATAAATGGATATTGATGACAGGGTTGTGTTACACACGCACAAACGTCAAGGAGTGTATGTATAATATTCTAAATATGAGGAGATCTAATGATTAAGTCACAAACTTAACAGGATCTACGTGTAATTTATCTATTTAGTTCTAGATGACTAACTGACGGTTGTTAACTTCAAGTAAGGTGTATAGTGATACAAATATATATCTTTGAGGATGTAAGTTAAATTTTTTAATCTTTGAGTATATAAATTAAAATTTAAGAAATCTATCAGGTGTAATTTATGATTAACCTTTTTTTTTTTTTGGAACCTTTCTCTTTCTTTGCACTTCTTTTTGATCCAACTCTTTCTTTGCACTTGACTTTTGCTTTTTTTTTTTTTATGGCGCGCATATGACATAATTGGATTCGCATTAGAAGGCAATTTGCAATATTTTAAAATTATCGTATTCTTGGGTATATGGCAATTCGAAGCTACAAGTCAATTTATAGTGGATCAGCTTTTGAGTTATAGGGACTAAGAATATTTGTGATACATTTTTTCTTTGATTCTCTTTTTCTGTTTATTTTGTATTTAAGTGGAGTACATTGTATAAAAATGAATCCCTCACTTATCAATAACGGATGATCCGCTATGACGAGAATTGAATAAAACAAGTATTATAGGGAATATAGATTCTAGTTATATTAATACTATTGACAAATAATTTGGGAACATAATTTAAAAAACTATTAATACACTGAGATCATTAGGTTAATAGTGTATTTCATTTTTTTTTTTTTTTTTTGTGTATTTCATTCAATGCTGGAACCCACTAATAATTGAACGGCCACATTTATTAAGTTCTCAAATTATGTCTCAATAATATATTTTTTGAGTTATCTTTCCTATTATTAACTATTAATACAACTCAGCTTACTTATATTTTTTGATTGATTTTCAAATGGTGATGAATTTAAACCCGATAATCAGGCAACACTTACAATTAAAGATTATTTAGGTGCTACAAATGCAACTTGGGTTGAACCCCTAAAAACCACACCAACGGGTGTCTTCTGTGAAATTGAAGTCTAATTGTTCTATGATCAAATGCATCTTGGGTAAGTTTGGATAGCTGATACCTCACTTCTAACTAGGAGGTTTGAGGTCCAAATCTACATAATAAAAAAGAGTGTTTTTTGAATTTAAATCTCTTATAAAATAAAATAACATTTCAGGTTAATCCAAAATCTAATCAATAGTGAAAATTAGGGAGATTTGACAAGAATTACACAATCGTGCACTTTTTAAGCGAGAGGTTTAACTTGGATACTTGTAAGACGAAAGATTTATAAAATACACAGTTGACAAAAATGTTCTTAATGAATGAAGTTATTTAAAAACTTCCACCATATCACATTCTTATGTTTATTACAACTACCACCATCTTCCCACCGTTGTCACTGCCATTCGCCAACCCTACCACCACCACCACCACCACGCACCATCGTCGCTCACCATTATCTGCAGTGACCCACCCACCACCACTACTATTACTTGCTGCCACCACCCACTGTCACCACCACCACCATTGTCGCCAATCATCATTACCCAAACTAGCATTACCCAAAATCCATTGTTGCCATCCACCACTTAAACCCACCACCATCATCCAACACCAACACCAACACCACTGTCGCCCACCACCACCCAAGACACTGAATTAAAAAGAGTGAATAAAAAGACAATGAACTCGAAGACAACGAACTCAAGACAGTGAGCATAAAGACAGTGAATTTAAGACAGTAAATTACAAACAGTGAACTTTAATAGACTGAAACTCCTAATTTAAGTGTAATACCACCTATAATTTTAGTCAGAAACAAAAAGGATAGAGCCATATTTTTCATTTCACCTCAAACTCACTTTCCTTTTACATGAAAGGAAACCCACCTACCTCTCTCACAACAAATAGAAAGCCCATTGTTGTTCTCAATCCATACTCTGAATTCTTTGAACTTTAAGGTCTTGTTTGTGCAATTTAAAAATGGTTAGCTTCGATCAGGCACCACTAATGAAATCAAAGACAGTGAACTAGTCGAAATTTAGTATGTCAATATGTCCAATATGATGAAAGACACTGAACTCAAAGATAGTGAACTAAAGTAACAGTAAAAAATGCAAAGCCCAAAAACATAAATCCTTAGTTACAACCTTTCGCAAGGTAGGTAATGGCGAGTTCGCTTGGGGTGAAATTTGCAACAGTTGCAATAATCAACGAAATTCCATTATGGAATTGATACAACGCCACATTTTTCTATATATACTCCATGAATTGAGGTCTAAAATTATTCAAAAAATAATACCCAAAAACCAAAATTACCACAAATCAGGAATCCATATAAAAAAAATAAGAGAATTTCGGATTGTATATAAATCACAACTTTGCAATATATGTGTGTAGCTTAGAGGGAGAGGTCCTATCACTGGCTTTGTTGCTAGTGCCAATGAGCTTTTGAGAATCAAGAATCATGATCTTGTCGAATCAAGATGGTTTTGGAAACTGGAGAATCCTGGTATGCTATCAAAGGGATTCGTTTATTTTTTCATTGAATGAGATTCTAATAGCATGAAATATTTTAGAATTCAAACTCATTATCTATACCTTACCGAAAATATTAATTTCAACCTTTTAAAATGGCAAACCTCAACAAATTTTGCCAAAATTTTAGAAGAAGAATCAGGATGGATCAACTACCTGCTTGGATGCCAAATTAAATTTTGAATATCGTTACCTTTGGAATAAACTTAAAATATCGAGGTAAAACTCTAGGTCTCCCAATTATTTTCTTTGCTTATAAATAAAGTTTTTCTCGCTTAAAAAAGTTTAATATTGTTTCAAAAAAAAAATAAATTAGGGTTTAGATTTATATATCCAATTCCATTTTATTCAATTCCTTTTTTTACTACGAATTTTTTTTTTGGTGGTGTAAAGTATCTTTAGACACGGACAATTTCTAGATAACTGGTAATACAACTCAACTTACTTATATTTTTTGATTGATAAGCAATAATGATGGATTTAAACCCGATATATATTAAACTATTTTCCAAATAAAAGCATTTTGGGTGTGTTTATTTTGAAAAACTCTTTGGGACTTTTGAGAGAAATTCAAAAGGTTTGAAAAAAAAATGGCATGACAAGCTACTAATTCAAAGTTCGTTACTTTTGGCTAAAGATACCAATCCAAATGGTTGCACCTTTTTTTTTTTTTGAAAATCCACTAGTGAGTCTATAAATAAGTAATACCTTACACTCCAAAAATATACAATTGAACAATTATATACTTCCTACTAGAATTGCTCTTTCATTCTTTTTATTTTCATTCTCCCAAATTTAAATACATCTATTTTTTTTTCTATTCAATCTAGTATTTCTACATAGTTAGAATACTTGAAGTTGGCTATTTGATTTCTTTAAAGTATTTGAGTACTGTCTTCGTAAGTGCAATATTCAGACAAATTTGAAAAGCTTTGTTGTGTATTAAGGACAGATTTGCAAAATTTTTGGTACACACCTTTCTAAACAACTAGTGGGGACAAATACTATTTTTAGGAAAGTGTTCTCGTACATGAGTTAAAGCAATTTTTAGTATTGCTGTGCAGTCCCTACAATCAAGTACATACTAACGACCCCAGAGTTTTTATTCAGTAATCTGAAAATAGTATTTATTCATGAATTCTTCTTCGTCTGCAAAATCACTCCATCACATGACGGAAAAGTTTCGTAAAGTTGGATCAA